CCAAAATCCTGGGGTCTCCCCGCTAAACCACTCTGTCTCAGGCTTACCCAGCTGATAATAGATCAAGTTTATATGAGAGTAGATGTCCTCAATGACTAGGCTGAGTTAGGTATGCCCACCCATTTACAGGGAAGCAGGGACCAAAGAGATGTGTTGGACATGGTCCCATTTTGATAGTCCCTGGGAGCCATGCCCTCAGCCTCCAGAATGCCCCTTTCTCCATTATGGGTTGCTGCATGGCCAACGTGTAGGTAGGCTCAAACATATGAGGAATCTAGCAGCCTACTGCTAGGCCCAAGCAGAGGGTGTTCTGATAGGTTACTCACTAAAGTCTAGGATAAAACACTATAGACCTATGTCATTGACTACTACTGATGTCAGTAGTAGTCAATGACATAGATAGTAGTAGATCAATGAGATAGATAGTAGTAGTCAATGACAAGATGTCAGGCATCTTGGAATGCAACCAATGACTGGGCTATAGGGGTGCCACTCCCCAAACAGTTGTTTGAACAATTGTCCCTGTGTGGGATGGGACTATTTTATATCATCCTCCCAACTGTGTGTGGATTTTCATCCACACACAGTTGGAAGGATGAGTATTAAAAGGGCTGTATTGGTAAAAAGCCAGTCCATATACTCTGGTTGATATAGACACTAATATTGTCTCTCGTCTCAATTTGCCATCTCTCTTGCCAGCAAAAATGAAAAATCTGATAGCAATCTGATGTCAATGTAAAATACATGTTTCAATCTGTATTATCTGTAGGAATTTACAAAGTACAATACTACAAAAATACTGAACTTAAATTTTAAATTTGACTACTTAATTAATATGTCCCAAAGAGCTTTTTTCTCTTCATGGGTAGCTGAATTGACGTGACTCTTCTTAACTGTACTGTCTATAGCAAAACGGTGGCTAGACAACCAGGATTTAACAAATTTATCAGGTTTGTTTGAACAGATGTAAAGGAGGACCGTGTGCATTTATAAACATTAAACCTTGACACATTAGTGACCTTAAATCTGGATTACATTGTTTATTAAACTGAATCCTCTTTCACATTCTGTCATAGAACAAGGCAAAGTAGCCACAGCATGTAAAATGGGTTTCAAATTTTCTGGTATAATTTTACAGCACAGTTGTCAGTTAACTCCTGCAGTCCTTGCACAGTTTTAAGTTCATCTAGATCAGTGTTTCTCAACCTCTAATGAATCGTCGCCCCCTTCAACATAGTATTGCCCCTTCAATAAAACCGTTACGTAGTATCGTTCCCTTCACTTCAAAATTCCGATGCCGAGGGCCGAGGCTAACGCCAAATTCGTACTGCATCGAATAGACTATTGACTAATATAATGTTATTTGTTTAATTATTGTACGATATAACGAATAAAATATCTAATTATTCTTAATATAATGTTTTACTATATAGTCCAGAAAATTGTTTTTCACCCCCAAAATATAAATCGTTACTAATCGCCCCCTCAACATGAAAAAACGCCCACATGGGGCGATATCGCCCCCGTTGAGAAACACTGATCTAGATGGAAGCCCTGACAAATCCTAATAATAATATTTCGTCCACTAGTACATATCTATTGACAGGACTTATTAAACTGGCTTTAAAGACGCTGCAACTCAGTTTCACAGATTAGAAAATTGTTTTATTTAATTTACCTGGACACATACATGTTAATATTGCGTTTCAGTCTTGTTTGTTTCTCATCAGCAGGTATTTATATGATACATTCTACATAAAAAATTAAAAACAATAAAACATTTTAAATTTCCTGATCATAATTTTTAAAATTTACTGACAAAATTTAAAATTCTTACAATTTCAGGGTTATTTCTTTCTAATCCAATTTCCACAGTAACTTTTTAAACAAAACCATCTCCTCTTGACTTACACTTTGTCTCAACCTATTTCAATCATTCTCTTTATACATCACTCACTCTCCTCCCTCTATGAATCTTCTCCAGGATTGGTATATTTCTCTTCTGGTATTATTATTAATTCTATTATATTGTTTAGTTATATTAATATGTTCATATAATTGTCATTTATAATTATTTTTTTCTTTTTTCCTTATTTTTACTGAATTTAATACTATTTTACATCCTGTTGCGTTACAGTGGTTTGCTACTACTGAATTTGCATAATTTCCTGATTGCTCGAATATGTTCACTTAATCTTATTTTTAATTTTCTTTTTGTTTCACCAATATATGTTTTTTTCCGGGTTACAATTACAATTAAAGAAATACACTACTTATTTTTCTTCTGTTATATCATTTTCTTCATTTCCAAAACATAAATGTTTTTTAGTTGTATTTACTTTTTCTGGTATTAAATTAATTCTACTATCTAATACTTTTTTAATTATTTTAAAAAAAGTATTAGATAGTAGAATTAATTTAATCATTCTGTCTGTCACACTTTGGATGAATTGGCTTGCATTTATACTGATAATTTTAGCATTTGGAACAAGAGTTACAGTTTGAAAATTGCCTTTCATTTTGCAGTCAATAGCTGTCTGCATTTTTTTTTTGACAGGCTTCTGTGAAATTTTCAATAACTCTTATTCTTTTTTGGATAAGATGCGCTACCTTAGAAAGAGTCATTTTTTGAGATTGAAGTTGTTCTGATAGAGCAGACGATTCTTTTATTATGTCATACATTAATCCCAAATGTGTAAGTAATTTAGTGTTTTCAAGTTTTTCCTTCAGTCCACTGAATGTAGCTTTTTTTACTTTGTCAGTATTGCCACAATTTGTTTCTGATAAATCTTTCAAAATGTTTATGGATTGCAATTGCTTGATAAGATGATCATATGGCCTTTACAGTGCAAAAACTGCTTGCAACCCATCTCACTTCAAGAACCCGTCCTATTTTTTGAAACTGGTAGCCAAGGGCTTTGCAAGAAGACTCCAAAGCACAAGAATTTTTGGGAGACTGACTGTATAAATTATATAATTTGTCCATAAAACATTTGAAATAATTAATGCCTCTTACATCATCCATTGAATCTCCTACCAATAATTCCAGTCTATGATTTAGACAGTGTCAGCTGAACAGGCTTGGATATTGCTTCTATAAGATAGAAACAACTCCAGAACTTTTACCTGTCATTACACTGGCCCCATTAGTAGCAATATCGATCCAATTGTTTTGCAAGCATTCTTCATGCAAACCATATGATTTAAAGCATTTTAAGAGCTGCATAGATATCTGCTCATCGGTTTGTGACTCTAGTTCAAGTNGATATAACGAATAAAATATCTAATTATTCTTAATATAATGTTTTACTATATAGTCCAGAAAATTGTTTTTCACCCCCAAAATATAAATCGTTACTAATCGCCCCCTCAACATGAAAAAACGCCCACATGGGGCGATATCGCCCCCGTTGAGAAACACTGATCTAGATGGAAGCCCTGACAAATCCTAATAATAATATTTCGTCCACTAGTACATATCTATTGACAGGACTTATTAAACTGGCTTTAAAGACGCTGCAACTCAGTTTCACAGATTAGAAAATTGTTTTATTTAATTTACCTGGACACATACATGTTAATATTGCGTTTCAGTCTTGTTTGTTTCTCATCAGCAGGTATTTATATGATACATTCTACATAAAAAATTAAAAACAATAAAACATTTTAAATTTCCTGATCATAATTTTTAAAATTTACTGACAAAATTTAAAATTCTTACAATTTCAGGGTTATTTCTTTCTAATCCAATTTCCACAGTAACTTTTTAAACAAAACCATCTCCTCTTGACTTACACTTTGTCTCAACCTATTTCAATCATTCTCTTTATACATCACTCACTCTCCTCCCTCTATGAATCTTCTCCAGGATTGGTATATTTCTCTTCTGGTATTATTATTAATTCTATTATATTGTTTAGTTATATTAATATGTTCATATAATTGTCATTTATAATTATTTTTTTCTTTTTTCCTTATTTTTACTGAATTTAATACTATTTTACATCCTGTTGCGTTACAGTGGTTTGCTACTACTGAATTTGCATAATTTCCTGATTGCTCGAATATGTTCACTTAATCTTATTTTTAATTTTCTTTTTGTTTCACCAATATATGTTTTTTTCCGGGTTACAATTACAATTAAAGAAATACACTACTTATTTTTCTTCTGTTATATCATTTTCTTCATTTCCAAAACATAAATGTTTTTTAGTTGTATTTACTTTTTCTGGTATTAAATTAATTCTACTATCTAATACTTTTTTAATTATTTTAAAAAAAGTATTAGATAGTAGAATTAATTTAATCATTCTGTCTGTCACACTTTGGATGAATTGGCTTGCATTTATACTGATAATTTTAGCATTTGGAACAAGAGTTACAGTTTGAAAATTGCCTTTCATTTTGCAGTCAATAGCTGTCTGCATTTTTTTTTTGACAGGCTTCTGTGAAATTTTCAATAACTCTTATTCTTTTTTGGATAAGATGCGCTACCTTAGAAAGAGTCATTTTTTGAGATTGAAGTTGTTCTGATAGAGCAGACGATTCTTTTATTATGTCATACATTAATCCCAAATGTGTAAGTAATTTAGTGTTTTCAAGTTTTTCCTTCAGTCCACTGAATGTAGCTTTTTTTACTTTGTCAGTATTGCCACAATTTGTTTCTGATAAATCTTTCAAAATGTTTATGGATTGCAATTGCTTGATAAGATGATCATATGGCCTTTACAGTGCAAAAACTGCTTGCAACCCATCTCACTTCAAGAACCCGTCCTATTTTTTGAAACTGGTAGCCAAGGGCTTTGCAAGAAGACTCCAAAGCACAAGAATTTTTGGGAGACTGACTGTATAAATTATATAATTTGTCCATAAAACATTTGAAATAATTAATGCCTCTTACATCATCCATTGAATCTCCTACCAATAATTCCAGTCTATGATTTAGACAGTATCAGCTGAACAGGCTTGGATATTGCTTCTATAAGATAGAAACAACTCCAGAACTTTTACCTGTCATTACACTGGCCCCATTAGTAGCAATATCGATCCAATTGTTTTGCAAGCATTCTTCATGCAAACCATATGATTTAAAGCATTTTAAGAGCTGCATAGATATCTGCTCATCGGTTTGTGACTCTAGTTCAAGTATATCCAAAAGTATATACACTCCATTTTCTCTGGCTTCGTCTAGATAGCCAAAAGATAAATTATAAAAACTGGCTTGTTGCTCAGTGATGTCAACTCATCAATCAGTATGTTGAATTTGGCTCTTCTTGATACAATTTGGAATATCAATTGCTTCTGCATTTTGTTAGCAATATGATCTATAATATTGGTTGCGAAATGCAAGAATGCAAAGTTGTACCTAGATTAATCCCATTCATTTGTTGCAAGGCAATAAGATCATTTCTCTGAATAAGGATGATTTTTTTGGACACTATAATAGGCCATTCTGAGTATCTTAATGGTAGCCTTTTTGGCATCGGACGAAATTTTCAATAGTCCATCTTCAATTCTCTTCGATTGAGCCTTTTGCAAAATCTTTTCAGCAATACTGTGCCCTACCAAATCTGAGTGCCTTTTAATTTTGATGCGAAGACTAGTCAGTTTCCTTTCATGGTTTGGTCCATAAAAATGCTTCTGTGGAATATGGATGGTTAGCTTCTATGGAAATGGTGGCCCATTCTTTAGCAATTTGTTGTCTTTTTATTGTTTCAGCTCCTAGAGATTTTACCAAGGTGCATGTACAACCTAGTTTGCCATTTTTGTAGGAGATCCAAGGATATTTGCTTTTGAAGTCCTCTAGTTGGGAAGGCATCCATACCTTCAGCCATAAAAATTCATCTACATTTTCTGCAACATCATCTTTCTCATAGCCTGTAGTTTCTGCATCAGTAGTATCACGGCTTCTGCCATTATCACAGGCAGTATTGTTTTTGGCAACATCATTAACTTGATTTGAACTGCTGCTGGTAAGTACTGTACATAACATTCTTCGTGATTTTCTTATGGTTCCTTTCCCTTTTCTGATTCATTTCCCTTTTCTGAAAAATAAATGTATATTATTACATTTATTTTTTAATGGGATATAATTTTGTATTTTTAAATTTTTATGTTCCATGCTAATGCACAAAGACTAATTTGCAAATATGTTCTATCTCTAGCTTTATAACATTCAATCCCCCTGAAGAAATATTACCTGAAGAAGACAGTTATATACTGTTGAAAGTGCTTGTACTTGTTAATTAAATGACTACTATTCAAAATAGCATCTAGAAGTTTTTGCAATAAATAGAAAATAGCATCAATTGTTACATCATTCACAACTGCAAGATCTTTGACTATGTTAATATAGTCTTGAGGTATTACATCTTTTCATTTAATCCCTCCATTAAAGTCTGAATATCAGTCATTTCTTGTGATAAATCCAACCCTTCTATTTTGGCTTCATTTTCATTTAAATGAAAGCCCACCTTTCTGAAACAGTTTCTTTTGCAGTTATTGCTGACATTTTTGTGAGCATCTGATATCCAACAAACAGTATCAATACAAAAATTTTAATTCAGATGAGGAATTACATGACTCCATATTGGCACAAATTGATTGCAACACTTGCTTTCTATATAATGCACTTTAAAATTTTAAATAATTTCCTGATTCAATAGTTGTGATAAGGTATTTGCTGACAGAAAACATAATTTAATATTAGATAAATCTAATCATGGATGGCATGCAACTTTATCTAAAAAGAGAAGAATATGCCTTTTTTAAATTTTCATTTTTCTGTTTGAAAAATTGAGCCATTCTTCCATTATAACTTAATTGAAGTCATCCATACTGTCATCCATGTGATGGGTAATTTGTGAATATTTAAATTTTTGAAGCAGTGGAGTTTGAAATTCTTTCCTATGACTAATGGCTTTTCCATTGTTCCATCAGCAAAAGCTCACAAGAGAATTGTGAGTCATTCTTTCAGTTGCTTCCCTCTAACACACTATCTTTTTATAAACTCAAAGTTTTGTTTGAAAAAACAATCTCATTTCATCACAATTAGCAAGGTTTTTTGACTCATAGTCCTTAGTTAATTCAGTCAAATTCTGATTCCAGTCTTCTATTATTGTCAGGTCAACGTCTTTAATATACCCAAAAATTCGCTTAAAAGATATTTCTTCTCAAGCTTTCTAGTCAACTATCAGAAGCCTTGAATGACTCATTCTTCAAATCTTGTGCAATAATTCTGGCTTTCTCTTGTAGAATAGGGCCTGAAATTGAAATATTACATGATCTCGCATTTAGAAATTATTTGTACAGTTTGTTAAGTTTCAGTTCTCATTTTTATTTTTGAATCTCCCTGATGTTTACCACATAACCATTCTTCTTTGCTTTTCAGAATTTGATAAAGTTGTGTGTTTTGTCACAATTAAATTTTCTGCAGAGTTCTTTATCCTTGCTTCTGTCTTATTCAGATTGTTTTACTTTTTGTGGACTTAAAAATTGCTTTTCCATGTGTGCATTAAGCAGTTTCAGGCTTATACATACAAAATTATGTTAATGTGTGTATTATGTGATATGGGACTAGAAAAAAAATTTGTAATAAGCAGGTTTCCTGGTCTTACTGAGAGCCTGGCTTTAAACAGTTTACACTGTACTTAATGATGGATTGACTTTTGGGAAAGAATTCTGTTAATCAAACCTGGCTAGAGAATTATGAAAAATTTTGAAATAAAAACCAAAAAAACATATATATTAATATATAGGAATTAATAATTTCCAATACTTTTAGACTAGATTTTAAAAATAACTTTTGATATAATAAATACAACTTTTTACAGTTCATTCTATTATTGTTTTTGCTTCTTACAAGGAGGTTATTCCTTTTTTTTTTTTTTTTTAAGAAATTTTAAATGAGGGCAAAAATGAAAGTATAATTTCTTTAAGCTACTGGAATAAACTTTTGGTATTTGTTAATGATTAATTTTATCTTGAAAGTAGTTCATTTTAATTTTATATTTTTAGGTAATAATTTAGTTGCTAATGTAATAAAAGAAATAAAAAGTTGCAGGTAATAAAAGTATGTTGATACTTAACAGACTTAAAGCCGGCAACTTAATGCTCATCTTTTTAGGCTCATCAGGAGCCTACAAAGTTCACTTGCATCCTGCATCCAGGAAAGGTTGTTCATCACTGGACTAACTAAAAAATATTAATATATTATTAAATGCAGTATATAATTGTTTTTAATTTTTCCAAATTCATTCATTGTATTAAAATAATTATCACCAATAAAATGCTTTTACACATCTAGATAATGATGAATATTTATTATTCAGAAATATGAAGTGTTATAAATTTTAATATTCTAAATCACATAAGCTGGTTCTCAAACAGCTTGTGATACATAAACCAATCTCAAACCCTTACCAGTAAAACAGTTATTCTTAAATACAGAAACTATTCTACTTTCAGCACCGAGGTGAAATGTACATTAAACTATCCAGAACCTGTAACAGGTGTATAACATGTATATACTATATATCGCTGTTGACAAATGTTTTCGAGCGATCTCTTTGCTCTTCTTCAGGTCAACTGGAATTTCCTGGACGGAGTGTATTCTATTTGTTGGGATCAGGTGTCAATTCCGATGGGGTGGGTCTTTTCTGACGTGCGGTTGCATGGTGGGGGGAAGTGGGGGGGTTGGCATCCAACAGTGATTGCCAGACCAGAGACAGAGTCAACTCTTCCACCAGGGCCACCGTTTTTGCGTAGGCTTCCATGTGGGCACCCTTACTTTGTCTACAATCGGGCGTAACTGTTGGCCCACTTTATGTGTTTTTGCATAGGCTTTTCACCTACATGGTGGCCATGGTTAAAACTAGAGCCAAACTACGGTTTCTGACAGAGTGTAAGAAGAGCGGACTTTTACCGATGACATTTTTCCGAATACGCCTCCCACCAGGCAGTGAACCTCTTCTTAAAATGTCAGGATCATGTGCCTTAATAGAGCCATCCGGTCATCCAGAAAGTGGATTTTTGCAAAATTGAAGGAATTAATAGAGACCGAGGACTCCTTATTCCACACACACCCTGACATATTGGCCAAGGAAAACGCTAAATTAGTCCCTATCTACGAACGCCTATCTGCTGACCTGCGAGAACTTTACCGCAAGAATCTGAATTGGGTGTTAAAGTTTCAAGTATCTAAGTTCGACCAGTGCCCCACATTCCTGTTTATCGTTTGGGACAACATTCAGCCGCCTAACTTCATGGTAGATGTGCTCAAATATGGCCTGACCTTCGCACCCTCGCTGCCTGAAAATGGAGCCAGAGACCTCATCCCGGACGTGGAATACCTTATAAAGAGCCTTCCAGATACACAGAAAGAATATTACAGATGGATAGCCTCGATAAATATCAGAAAAGCTAAAGAACAGCAAGAAATTATAGTGCCAAGCTGAGATGTACAGCTGGATGGATACAGAGGAACAGGATAATTCTCACTAGAGCTGATAAGTCAAAACACTGGTCCTCATGAAATGTAACTCATACCAACAGGGTTTGAAGGAGTACATTGATAATACCATGTGTGAGAAAGAAAAAGATGATGTAATAGACAAGCTACAGGCTGTGGTTAGACGTCTCACTAACTCTAAATTAGCCAAATGCCTAGCACTACACGATGTTTTTAAGTTCAATGGCACCATTTACTGGCAGAAGAGAGGTGTACCAATGGGTAGCCTGCTGTCAGGCGACCTCTGTGAAATGGTCATCAGACACCTCGAGAGTAAGGCCTTCTTGCCTTTCCTTCCCAACATCCTAATATATAGAAGATACGTAGACGACATTCTTATTGTATGGAGAGAGGTCCCTGACATGACATCCTTTGTCAGAACCATCAACAACAACCCTTTCGGTCTGATGGTTGAACTGGAGCAGGCTAGTGCAGAGGAAGTCCATTTTCTAGACATTGGAATAAAAATAGTAGGACCAAACATCGACACGGCTGTGTACCACAAACCCACAGCCACCCCCACGTACATACCAGCCAATTCTTGTGACCCTTTCCCGTACAAGGCAGCCATCTTTAGAGCTCTGGTAGAAAGTGTGTTCTTGCACTCATCCACCAAGCAAGCCCTGACAACCGAATTAGCCCGCATCAGGAGGATAGCAACTGAGCACGGGTTCCCGAACGTGACATGCTGCTTAATAGAACAATACCAGCACCGGAAACACACTCTGACCGCAGGTAATGTCGCTGATCCACAGCAAGATTGTTCGGCATGAGTCCCCATTACATTCAACCCATACCTTAAGACAGTACATAAGAGGATAACCAGAGAACACAGGATACGGTTGGCATACAGAAGATGTCCCACGATTTTCCATATCCTGCGGAATGATAAAGACCCTCCCAATCGCACCAGACTCCCCAGAATCTATTCTATCCCAATCAGGGACAACAGGCAGAACAAAGACTTGTTATACATCAGCTCGATCAAATGTTCCTTGAACACCCACCTACGTGAACACCAGGCGGATATCCAACACGAGAGACTAACCACAGCATTGGGCACACATGCATCTGATCCCGAGGTCGAAGCAAGATTCAAAAAAGCTACTGTTATCATCAACACACCCCACCAAGAGCATCTCAGGTGGCTAGAGGCCACGGCTATCTACAATGCCGGCCGGCTAACCACGTGTGTTAACCGGAAGGAAGAGTTGACTCTGTCTCTGGTCTGGCAATCACTGTTGGATACCAACCCGCCACTCCCCCCCATTATGCAACTGCACATGTCAGAAAAGACCCACCCCATCGGAATTGATACCTGATCCAAACAAATAGAATACACTCCATCCAGGGAATTCCAGTTAACCTGAAGAAGAGCAAAAAGATCGCTCGAAAACATTGTCAACAGCGGTATATAGTATATAAGCGTTACGCACTGGTTACAGGTTCCGGATAGTTTAGTGTAGTTATTCTTAAACAAGAAAGTTTTTCATTTTCACATGAAGTTAATAGAAGAAAACACAGGACTGCTTTGTCTTTTTTCATCTTATGTTCTTTTCACACCTCAGGAATAAACAGTCTTATGGTGGAGTTGATCTTTTATTGTATGCTCTTATCCATTTTAGTATGTAACACATGTAAAAAGTTTTCAATTGGCAATGGGTAAAATTGTAAATGTGTATATATATTAACAATAATAAAAATAATAAATAGCCAGGATAATAATTACATTTAAATAATTACAAGAAAATTTTCTTTTCTTGTAATTATGGTCTTTGTGCTATTTACTAGTTTTATTAATGTTACATACATAAACATCTTAAAGTTAATGTTCAATAAAGCCAAATCATCTGACTTTATTAATGTCTAAAAAAATTATTGTTTAATGTTATATATAAATTCTGGACTTTATAATGTACTATGTAAATTATAATAAATAAATTACTAAACAATGGATAAAATCTAAATTGAATTTGTGATGATATTTGTTTTTAAAATTGATCAATATCTTATTATAATATTTTCATTAATAAAAATTATTTCTTAAAATTATTTCTAGAAGGAATGCCATTCTACATCAATTTTTGTGCAATGTATGAAGGAAAATGTACAAATTCAACTTACTTCATGACAAAAGAAACAGGCTTAGATGGGGTAAGAAAGACATTATATAATGTGTGAGGGAAAGTCAAAAATTATCCACACTTTATTTTTTTAATTTATTTACACAAATCTAGGGGGTTAAATAAGTATGTCATTTTTCCACATGGACTTTTTTCCTCCATGGACATTTTGATGGACTTGGTTCAGCAGTAAAGAAACTTGAGTATTCCTTCCAAGAAGACGGTTTTGGGTTGATTGCCCAACCATTTATGCACCGTTTCCCACACTTTTTTGTCCATAGAAAATTGATGACCTTGTAAAGCATCCATCTTTGAACAGTTCAAAGAGATGGTCAGAAGGGGAGATATCTGGACTGTGGGCAAGGTGTTCCAGCATCTTTAAACCCAAATGGTTAGTGGTTTCAATGGTCTGGCCAGCCATGTGTGGGTGTGCATTGTTATGCAACAGTAACACTTTCTTCAACTATAGGCCTTGGCATTTGGTGCAAATTTCTGGCTTCAGATTGTTGGCCAGCAAATCACTGTATCTTGCACTGTTGATCATATGCCTGTTTTCCAAATAGTCTTCCAGTATATGCCTTTGTGAGTCTCAAAAAGTGGTTAGCATTACCTCTCCCATGGAAGATTCAGTCTTGAATTTCTTCTTCATTGGAGATCTTGGGTATTTCCACTCCATACTTTGCATTTTGGATTCTGGCTCATAGTGATGGACCCAGTTTCATTTCCTGTGCATATTCTGTTCAAAAATGCTTTGCCTTCATTATTGTAGTGGTCGAGTAAGCATCAGCAGATCTGAACACTTTTGCACTATGCTCTGCAGTAAGCTCTCACGGCACTCATCTCACACAGACTTTATGGAATCTGAGTTTATCACTGATGATTTGAAAGCAGAACCATGATTAATCTGCAGAGAACATGCTTTATTGTCAATGGTAGCTTGGTGTTTTGCCAGTATTATTTCTCAAGCTTTCTGAATCATCTTGTTATTGGTGGATGTTGATGGTGTCCTGCTCCCTCTTCATGCATCACATTTGTCTGGCCACTTTTAAACTTCTTGATCCACTCATATACACTTCTGTATGGTACAACACTGTCCCTGTACAGTGGGTGATCTGTTAACGAATATAATCTGTTCCAAGACCGTGTTCACTACCTGAATTGTTTGTTAACCAATTATTGATTTACCATAGATTTTTATGGGAATTTGATTAATTCGTTCTGGAGACCCCAAAAAGTAAAAAATAAAAATATACTTTCATACTATGTTTATTTATATGTAATAATAAAAATATGTATATACACAGTCTTGCATTATTATCAATCATGTTTTTTTCATTTTAATTAATTAAAACAAAGTAATTAATAGCATTGTTGTTTTAGAGATCTACAAGCCTATTAACCTCAATCTGGTTCGGATGACATTTGGATGACTACTGTTCTGTTATCTTCCCACTTCTTCAAAAGGTTTTTAACAGCAGTTGTTGGCATTGGTCCTCTTTCATCTTCCTCTTTTTCAGAAGAAAACACATCTCACTGAGTTTCTTTGTGTTTTTCATTTAAGAGTTCTTGGAGTTCTTCTGTCGTCAGATCAGTTTTAGGTTCCATTATGAACTTTTCAATGTTTTTTATTTCTCAGATGTAATTTTCAATTACTCCTTTAGCTGCTTGAGTCTTCTTGATTATATCTTTCTTAGCAAAGATTGTGCCTACTGTACACCTGTTCAAGCCACACTGCCTAGCAACATCAGACTTCATCTGCCCACTCTCTGCCTTAGCTATTACCTCTTGCCTGGTTTCTGTGGTGAGCACAGTTCTTGACACGCCACTATTTTTAGGCTCCATAATATTATCAGTTTCTTTTTTAAATAAAAAGTTCAGAAAAGAACTTACAGACAGAAATTCAGAGAACAGAAATCAACTAATGCACAAAAGCACAAAAACATTGTATAAATGTTAGGCCCAGATGAAATTTGAAATTTGGTGTTAAAACATTAATGAATATCTGGTGGGACAGTTAAACTCTTGCTTTTCAAAAATAAAAACTGATGCAAAACTTAACGAGGTCCCACCCAACAGTCTCACAAAGATTATAAAAAAGTTCTTTGTCAGAAAGGTAAACAAAAGGCTGGAATTACAAGGGAGACTTTCAAACTTCACTGTTGTGTGTAAATACATAAGCAGAAGAGTGTGACAAACACCGATGTGTTATGGCGAAAGTGAAGATGATTTTTGACTTTCCTACATACATATAAAATAAAATGTTCTTTAAATCTCAAAAAAATATCTGTAATTAACCGATCATTAACTTCTAATTATTAAATTTAGTACGAAATGGCTCGTAATATTTCTATTGCTAAATGCTATTAATTACCTCAGAAAATAGTTCAGCAAATTTAGCAATGCTTTGGGTAGCTCTAATTTCTTTTATTATGATGCATTCTTTTGCAAAACAAAACTATTTCTATGAAATGTATTTTAATGGAAAAAAAACAAAACTAAGTAGTTTTTCAAAGTATTTTAAAAGAATTTGTAGTTGTATGGAGAATGATCTAATTCAAAACCATATCAATTAGTTAAAAAAGCTGCCAGGAATTGTAAAAATTACAGCAATTAACTGTTATCTATCTTCAGTGGATCAAGTCTCTGGTCTGGAATGGCACTCAAAAGTGCAAATTCTGCAAACTAATTAGGTTAGTGATATTATTGATCATGCTATTTAGATTTTCCAAGACAATCTTTCCAGCACTATTCATTTGATGCATTCTTCTATTATTCTTTCATTTTCTTTTTTCAAAAGTCTAAGTTTTACTACCTCTTGTCCTTTCCATTATGTCAGGGGAAAATGCTGACATAAAGCTGTAAACTTGCCACATCATCAATGAATTTGCATGGGTGAGAATAGTGCTCTGCAACCTTTTTTCATGCATGGCATGCATAGGTACTTCCCAGAATTTCGTGGCAAATCACAAGTAAAAATATGCAAATATATAGAAATTACAAAGTACATACCAAAAATGTACTGATCTACTGTTATTTTTTAATTATAAAATTAACATCATATCTAACAACAATCTTTAAACTATTTTATTTCTTATAAAGTTGAAATTAACATGAGCAAGTAGCTTTATTATACTAAATTATACAATACAGTTAACATTTATAATGATCACAAAAAAGTAAATAAGCTTCAATATTGATAAAGAGAAAAATAGTGAAAACACACCAAAAATAAAGTGAGCATACAAAAATAAAATGATATATGTATTATGATGCCCAACATTTAATTTTAACTATAACTAATGAGACAGTTGAACTTGTTTTACTGAACATAGTTGTATTACATTAGGTTAATATTTGATAAGGCAACTTGAAGTTCACTATCAATATATTTCAAGCACAACCATTTATCATTTTTGATGGAAGCAAGAGTTGAAAAACTTGTTCATAAGTGGTTGTAAAATTGTACCATAACTATAGCATACCATACCATATCACTGACAATTTGAGGATGTTTTTTGACTGAAATCTAGAAAACATCCAATTGAACTTTGATGAACTTTAATTTCAGCATCCTGTAATTTCTCAATTTGAGAAATTTCTCTTGAACCAGAAGTATTTTGTAAAATTTTTGGAATTTATTACAAAAAGATTCAAATCCAATTGTATTGCTCCATATTTACTGTAAAAAGTGTTGCATCAACATTGGATGTTGTTGAGTCAAATCCTTTGCTTGTTTGTGATAGTGGCCAGATTGGTCCTTGGGATAATTTTATTTGCCAAAGGTCAAGTTTCTGTTTGAACCTGTTTAATTTATTGAAACATATTAGTATTTTTCATTTTAATGTTGCATTTTTACTTTCCTGGCCATTATATATAACAGAAGGAAAGTATGGCGATCGGTCAAAAAATGATTCCCCAATATTTTTACATTTTTGGACTTACAACACCTTGAAACATCGAAAAATGCAAAAAATAAGGGGATAATTTCTGTGTGTATGGATGTTAGTGTGTATGGGGCATGATTTTGTTTACCCTGTTTGTAGTTTAATAACTCCTGTGCGTTTTGTCGAAAATTTCTGAAATTTTTCGCAGAAGTTTATCAGGGCAATTAATGCTGTTAAATTTTGGTGGTTAAAGGTCCAGGGGGTGGAGATATAAAGGGGGTCGTGTGCATCTCCAGTATGGTTGGACTTAATTAATTTAATGACGATTTTACTATTATTAGCATTTACAATTTTTTATAAAACTGAAAATTAAGCATTTTGTTATTTTATAATAGTTAAAAACATAAAAGTTTTTTAATAATATATGATAGCAGGTGGTGCCACTAAAATTTTAAATGTTGCCGGGAAAGTTCAGCCACTCATTGCTGATTTATTTTTTATTGAGTTCATTCAAGTGTTCAAGTAAGCACAGCCTGTGAAGTAAGTCAGCTATGTATGCAAGTTTTGTTGCCAGATTATCTTCATGGAGCTGGTATTATTTGGGCATGTTTTTATTTAATAGAAATTGACCGACCTCGTGGTGACGTTCAAAAAATCTTCCCAGTACTTTGCCTCAAGAAAGCCAACATATTTTAGTGTAAAGTAATAAGGATTTATATTCCAATCCCATTTCTTTGCTGAATATTTCAAAAATTTGTGAATTTAAATTAAGTCTCATTTTAGTTATGTTTATGATGTCGATGCATTTGTTATCATTTGAAATAGTTTCTCTGGCAGGTTTCTGACCATCAGTACTTCCTGATTAAAACAACAATGTGTAATTTGTACTATTGGATTTTGTCATTTTACACATGAAACTTCCTTTTTATTAGTCACTATTGCTTCAGTGCCATCCAGGCAAACACTGACACAATTACTCCATTTAATACCAAAAGTTTTGAAGAAAAATCTACTACTAGAAAAATTTTTTCATCAGTAATCTGCTCTGAAAGCTTTTTGCAAAATAATGTTTTTATGGCATTTTCTTCAACAAAAAGTACAATACTTATGATCTGTGCTCACTTTTTAATGTTGATTTTCTTGTCAC